CTCTGGCATTCTGGACATCACCAAAATTTCTGCCTATGCCTGCAGCCCCTGTGTAGGGTATTTATCCTTGTTTTTAGACCACATTGGGCAATAAACAGCCCATAGACTGGATGCAGTTTGCCAGGGTTAGTTCTTGGCAGACTACCAGACACTTTGTTTAGCTGCACATCTACAGGTACAGTGGGTCACAGCTCCTGTTGGCCATGGATCACTATTCCTGACCAATGGGAGATGCTGGAAGCGATGCATGCCAGGACAGTTTCCCACAGCTCCCAGTAGCTGAGAGAGCAATTCACAGCCACAGAGAGCTGCAAGCAGCCATTCCAGTGGATGTGCAGGTAAATAAAGTGTCCCTGCCTGCCAGGAAACTGTGTCTGGTCCGCAGGCTGCTTATTACCCACCTGCATTTTAGACAATGGGCATTTTAGACAACCGATGGCCCCAGGGGTGAAGCAGAGTCACTTTTAGACAATGAGTGGGGAACTGATCCCCAGGACTCCACCCCCAGCAGCTGGGAGCCTGGAGCCTTGGGGGACAGAGTTAGGTAAGGAAAGGCCAGATTCAACTCAGGGGCTCTGCCTGGGGGAGGGAAAGAAATGACTCCACATGCTGCCATTTCCATTCTCCCTGCTGCCTGGAGAATTTTCTCCCACTACTCTGATTGGCTATACTCACAGCCAATAGGAACAGCAGGGGACACCGAACCCTGTGCATTCCTGGGGAGCTGTGCCAGTTAAGTGCCCCCCATCGCTCAAACCCCGCACTCACTCCTGCTTCTGGACCCCCCTCTTGTCCAGATCTCTCACCCCCAGCCCGCTCCTGCACCCCCCTCCTTCCCAGACCCTCCACTTCCACCCTGCTTCTGAACCCCCTCCCATCCAGACTCTTCACTACCAATCTCCAGCCTGCTCCTGTACCCCCACTCCCACCCAGATCCTGTACCCTCACTCCACTTCTGCATCTTACTTCCTGCCCAGCCTCACCACCCTACCGGACCCCACATCCAATGCATGCTTCCAGGCAGCCCTCTCAAACACACTGAACCTCTCATTTTTAGCCTCACCTCAGAGTTTGGGGGCCCCACAAAATCTACTAGCTTAAACCCCCAGGCTCTGATGTACAAGGGGATTGTGGGAAGAGTCTGCTTCTCAGTTGGAGGCTACCACAGTGAACTGTGAGGTTTTTGTTTGTTTTGTTTTTGTTTGCTTCTTCCTTTTGTGCAACCCCCCAACTGATTTTTCTGTGGGTCAGTGGCCCCCGACTCAAAAAGGTTCCCCATCAGTTTTAGTTTCTGACTACCCAAAACCTGCAGTGCAAGAATGATGAATAATGTCCTCCAGAGACTGCACCTGCTCCTCTCTTTCTTTTCCTGCAGTGGGAAGGAGCTGGCATCTATCTCACTGAGGCATTTTTCTGCACAACATAGTTCCTACGTACTATTCTATGCTGTGGGGTCCTAGGTTTAGCCCCTGTTGTAACATCTGATTCGAGTTTCTAGCCCAGCATATGAGTGGATGAGTGTAAGGGAGAAATTGGTGGAATCCATTTAGGTTGACAACTATCTAATGCAGTGATTCCCATCCTTTTTCCTATGGAGGAACCCCTAAAATAATTTTTCATATCCCGAGGAACCCCTACCTAGGAAAACGTTTGCGTGGTCAAAAATAGTTGACAGTGGGGAGTGCAATTCATTACTGCTAAATGCAGAGAATTCTGGTAAGTGGAAGGGCAGGCACAATACAACTAAATATAACCTTAGATACAAACTGACCAAAACAAAGAGGCAGTTGGTAGCCTACGAAGATTACTCTAGTATTGCCAATTGCCGGACAAAAATTCCTGCGATATTTCGAGGGATATTTGGAATTGTTCCAGTATTTCAAAACTTGTATTTATTTATACCATGATTTCTCGTGGAACTCCTGACCATGGTCTGCGGAACCTCAGAGTTCCGCAGAACCCTGGTTGGGAGAAACTGATCTAATGGCACAAACTCAGTCTCCTTGCCCCAGTATGCCCCTTCAGAGGCCCTGCCTGCTCACT